TGCCTACAGTATACCATCTAGCGTTGTTAGTAGATTGATAGGCAGCCGAGTTACAATTCTTATGCAGCATTACAATACTTTTTACAATAAATTTAAGTAAAAGTTATTATTAAAAAGAAACTCATAATCAACAGTGTGTTTTTTGACACACATACTGATATCTTTTTCAAACACCTCATTACCTCTTTTTTTTTTTTTTTGAGAAGTTCTCATCAGGGGTTAAAAATGGGAGAGGGGGCATGACAAATTTTGACATGTTAGATTGCAATTTGATTTGAAATATGCTAAAAAAGTTTGTTGAGGCAATTTTCAATTACTTTATATTTTTGAGATTGACTAATTGAGGGTTAACTACCCTTGAATGCTTGTTGGTTAGCATGTAGCACAACCCTAAGGTTATTTCAATGGCAGATTCCGAAGCGCACCCTAAGTTTAGTAAGACCTGTATATATGAAGAAGGGATATCTTCGTGCTAACCACACGAACCCCTTATCCCATGGCTGAGAAGCTGGGCTACCTTTGGTTGGCCACGGCCCTTCGAGTTTGACAGGAAAGAATTGAATGTTAGTACATGAATAAACAAAAATACGCTCAAAGCATGGGTGTAGTCAGAAGTCTAACTTCATTGATTGGCCGAGTCCCATTCAGCTTACAGGATGTCAGTTCAGGGGTCCAATTGCAATTGGCTGAAAGGATGTTAAAAATATCTCCGGGGGGGGGGGGGTAATTTATCAGTGAAATAAATACTATCTTTGCTAGCACAGCACAGTCAGAATAAATAATAAGAATGCTCCCAAGAACGTTTTCTTGGGAGATTCCTATTTTCTTCATTTGAACATTTTGTAATTCAGAACTCTTAAAAGATATACCTAATGTGAATTAATAATGTCCCTAATGGGGGCTAAGAATTTATTTTTCAACAGAGAACATCAAACTCTCTAGTGTGGATGGTCCCTGGTGGCCCCATCAATTAATTTCCTGTGGCAGCAGAATGTGCCAACAAAGTTTGGAGGAGTCTACAGAAATCTTGGAACTAAATTAGCTACCCAACAAATATTTCCGTTTCTAGTTTGTTTTGTCATTAGCTCTCAGTGAATGTTACTTGTTCTTTCTTTCCTTAATTTCTCTCTTAACAGCTCTTTAATATCATCTTTTGCTGATTCCAACCATAGTTAACTTTTATTTGTACTATAAGGATATTGTGACTTTCCTGTAGTGCTCTTATACATCCACCCTGGATATATGTCAATTCTATATGAATTTGCCATCCATGCAAACCAAAGATGTACTGTTTTTCAACACATTTCTTTTCTCCCCAACAGGGAATCTTTACAAATGTATTTATTTAAGCACAATCTAAATAACAGCGACTTTCCTTGATATTTAGAGATATGCTCTTTAATACATCTTCTGAAAACATGTAATGGCATGTAATTCGAATATGCTAATTTTTTATATTTTATTTTCTATTTCAGGTCGCTACTACTTCTTGATTTGGATATCCCATACTAGCAATGCCTCCCTTCTTCACAGATTCGTGGACATTTGGTGTCCTCCCTATATTTTAAACTATGTCGTGTTCACCTTTCCTTCCCATTGCGCTTCCAAATTAATCCTGCTGGGATGGAAACCTTCCTTACCTTGATGGCCTGAGTTAGATTGTAAGCATGTCTTGGCCAATTCCCAGTTTTTTGAGTGTTGAGGAACCTTGTAGGTCCATCTCAGCTATATTAATCGGTTGCGGGGAAGAGTATAGATGAAGGGAATGGTAGTAAGAGGGTTCAGGGATGATACCAGGGGGTTGGGAGAGTCCCTATATGTCACAACACACAACATGTAGGATTTGAAGCCACAGACAGGATTTGAACCTACAACCCTTCAAGCCAAGGAAGTTATGGCACTCCTAGCTTTCAGCTAGCCCGGTCAGCTGCTTATAGTTAATAATTACATGATTTAAATAAAAAGAGGAGCACTATGCTAAGAGAGCCAAATTGAAAACAAAAAATTATGTAAAGGAAGTGTAGACCAATTGCTCATAAAGTATGCCATAAAATAAAATAAAGATACGTTACATTAGTTTTACAAATTGCAATCAAAATTGTAACTGTATTTTCTTTACACTATTCCTCAATGAATATCTTATTTTATTTCCATTCCTTTTTCTTCTTTCCCACAGACTAGGCACTTCTTTAAAATATTTTGAAATTAAGCCATGTTATCATAAATAAAACGTAGGAGTAGCTTAAGGAATAAGATCTCCATATTGAAAGTACTAATTGTTTTCTGGAAATGAGCAATATTTGTTAAATAATTTAAATTAGGATTCTTTAGTTTTTGTGAGGATGAAGGGAAATACTTTTGAGAAACTTCAATGTTTCATTCAAGTGCTTCATAGATACGTCCATACAGTCTAAAGTAGAACATTGTTTAAAAATAGAACCCTATTAAGCTACAGCATTCCAAACAAGCTGGCGAGAATTAAAAATAAACTGAGAAAATGTTGCATTGCAACACATGGCTTTCTTTGGTTTTAGAGAAATTGTATTGGCTTGAAGTATTAAAGAAGTACACAGCTTTATATATTTTGAATCACATTACTAAATAAATTGAAGTGCATTTTTTATCACCAAGAGTCTGAATTAGCATAATATGATAATTGATGGTGATAGTGTGATTCATATAGGTGATTATAGATACAGATTGGTGCAGTGGGTATAACAATAATATCACTTTCAAAGTAGTAGCAACCTTTTCATTTCTATTCTCTCTCACTATACACATAAAAACAAAAACTAGTTTCGCAAAATACCTTCTTGTGATTATTCAGGTAACATAGTTCACAGGAATTGTAGTTGAATCACAAAAACAGATCCACAAACAAGGGAATGTACAAAATTGTTTGTGCATATATTTACAAGACCTGTGTGTACAAGACTAAGAAATCCTTGTAAACATGATTACATACCCAAATGTCACAATAATTTACAAGGACATTCAGTCAATGGTATGTTTACTGTAAGAACAGTACAAAACCTTCAGTCACATATTCAATTCTTTATGTTACAAATGTACACCATATCACACACTCTTTACACACATTCATTCAATGTCCCAATGTGGGAGGTAGTTTTGTATATTAAAATAAAATATGGATATAAAATAAAAAGACCGGAGAATTAGTTCCAATTATCTTACAATCCATATTCTTTGCACAAGATATGAGAACACGATTCTTCATAAAATGCCAAGAGTGATAAACACAGTCCACTGAACCACTCTTGTAGGAATCTTGCGACTTCTTGTGTAGTAGAGGCTCCAGCTCTGCGTCTGTGACCAGTGGCAGTCAATCGCTGTCCGATCCCACTGGCATCACCTTTTTCCGCTTTTTTGCTTGCTTTGGTTTTACTACCTCTTCTTCCTACAAGACAAATTTCACAGACTTTAATAAATTTCTCAAATTTAGAAACTCATTATTGTGAACCCACTTTTTACTTTCCCATATACATATATATTATACGAAGTAATATATGTGGCGTAGGGAAAGTTAAGTAATGCAGCGTGAGAAAACAGCGGATTTCCGGCAGAAAAAAAATTCATTGCAAGCCCCTGATAATGAAAAAGTAGATAAATACAGTTGCTAAATTAAGAAGAAAAAAATTCCTCTTAATACATGGTGAAGACAGAATTAATGTTTTGTAGTTCCTTGAAACTGAAGAATTGATTGATGGTGAAACGTCCGTCTGACTGTCTGCCTGTCTATCTGCGGGTGTCTGAACACTACTAGTCCCTAAATCATACGTAGGATTTTTTCCAAGTTCAAGAAACCCATGATCATCTGGCACGAGTTGAAACTTGAAGATTTTGAAAACCATTCTTCAAAATTTGGGGGTATTTACATGAATCCCTTCGGACATTTTCAAAATTTACTCAAAAACGGTTCCAAATTTTTTCTTTTAATTTCTTATAAGAACAGAGTAGCATACTCTTATAAACATAGTATAGGTCATATTTTCACAATTAACTCTGAAAATTTCAAAAATTTTAAAAGTATGATTTTTCCGGTATCTTCCAACAAAATTAAAGACAGATTTTTCCTTCAAATACAATTTGTTCTCCATAATAAGTTCTTTCAATAAGGTCAAGTATATTTTTTGAAACTTTCTCAAAAACGGCTCCCAATTTTTCTTTAAACATTCGGCAGCGATAGTGCTAAATGCACTATATAAGTTGACATAAACACCATATTGGCCTACTGTTTTGCTCTTAAAAAATTATGAAACTGTAATTTTTTTGAAATTATTACAACAAATTACAAAAATGTAGTTTTCGCACAATATCTCGTGTCCTATGAGTAATTTAAAAAAAATTGAAAAACAAGGTTTTCTCAAAAAATGACACCAAATTTTATCTGTAAACTTTTGGTAGGAGTAGTGCTAATTGTACTCTATAAGATGACAAATGCCATATTGCTCCATTGTTTTGTTTTTCAAAAAACACAAAAATGATTTTTACTTGCCTCTCATATTGTTACTATTTATATTAGTGTCACTTTGTTCACATTATTTTATTTACAAGTACATGTGCTTTAAATAATGTCATATAAAGTTTCTCAAAAACTGTACCGTTTTCTGTGAAAAGTAGCTTAACACTGCATTTTTATTTCTAATATTCATGTTCCACAAACAAATTGAAGCGCTTGAAGGAAAAAAACACAAATTCCCAAACATTGTGCTGCTCATTTTAGAAGAATTTTGAATCAAAAATATTTGAAGATAATAAATGTCAGATACTGCAGGAAGACTGAACAATCTAGTCAATGCAGACATTAATGAAATGAAAAGAGTATATAAAATAAATCAGGTGCATTATGGACAGAAGAAAGTCAAGTGGGAAAGAAAGAAGAGTAGGTGAATAGTAGAAAAGAAAAAAAGAAAGGAGAAAAGAGAATAACTGAAAATTTCGTATGGCCAGCCCAAATTATTAAGAGTAGTTTGTTGATCTCATTTATTTACCTCACTGCTCTCTTCTGAACTCTCTGACACTTCCTTTGGTGCTGCACGTTTTGTTGGAGCTGCTTTGTTAGCAGCTTTGCGCCCTCGCCCTCCACCTGAAGGCCGACCTTTAGTGCCTGTCGTAGGCGCAGGAGGAGGAGGTGGTGTCTCCAAGTCATCAGCTTCCGCAAGAGCAAAGAGATCAGAAAAGCGTTTACGCTGTGCATCATTGCATGCAGTTTGTGCTTGCTGTAGAGCACGTTGTACAGTGTCCAGGCCATACAGACAACCACTGCATTGCCGTAGCTGGTCAAGATGGCCTAGTACCTATAATAGAAAAAATGCAAATATTACAAAAAAGAAACAAACTAAAACAGATATGTAATTTTATACAGAAAATATTATATATTTTAATAATTAATTATATAATATTTATATAATTTTAAACAGAAATATTTATTTACTACAGAATAATAACTCATGGATATCCAATTAAGAATATCACACAGCTAGCCATAAGAGTAAGATTATAGGTTTCTACGTAAGTAATTTATGTCCAAAGAAGAAAAAACCTTCACAACTTCTAAATAAAAATTATTCAGGAACTTCACACATATTCCTTAATGACATTCAGACAGAAAAAGAAGAGAGATGTAAATAGAACCAGCTAAGGTTGAAGTTAAAGCAACTAAATTCTCAATGTAAAGAGCAGTAAAAAAAAAAAAAAGATTTCTGTTAGCTTGATTTTTTATGTAAATGTGATGTTTTAATCACATAAATTCCTTGGCTTAAACCAATTACAGCAGGAAGAGACCAGAAAATTACATCTAGTTGTTTTTGAAATTTGATATTTGAAGATAAAATTAATTTATTAAAACAGAAGCTTGGTTTTTAAGAACTAAACAAATTAATAAGTTAGAGAGAGCTAGATTCTAATTATTTTCTAATAAAGTAAGTGTACAATTCTATATCACATCATACTGCTCACCAGCAAGAAAACTAACACAACTCAAAAATGAAGTATTTAAAAAACAATAAATACAAGATGCATTGATGAATACGAACTAGTTTAAAATAAAACTGACATAATTGCATACTGGCAAATAATAGAATAAATAGTGAGTTAGAAATCAGATATTTTTTGTACATGCAGGGTCACATTCCCTTATATGTAAGTGAATGTATAATAATAATAATAATAATAATAATAATAATAATAATAATAATAATAATAATAATAATAATTTTATTTCCTTGCAAGCGGACTGTTATCCAGTGGCATATTACAATGCAATAATTTTGAACCATTGTATGCTGTATGCTTACTTGAGCCAATTGAGTGACTCCTCTGAAATCTGGCACTAGTACTTTTAGGTGCTCAAGAATTAACATAGTATTTCAAAATGTTAGTCCAAAATAAGGAATTGTTTGTTATTACAATAAATATGTGCAGTCTGCCAGGGTAATGCATGTGTAATCTAATGGCAGACCTAGCCACTGCATTGCCTTCCAAGACTTGAAATGGCAGTAAACCAAACAGAATTAAAAATGCAAGTTTAGTTTATGTTAGCTTATGGCGGATAAGAGACCAATCACAAACAGGACCGTACAATAGTTCACTACAATGAATATTCAAATGAAAGTATTGAATTCTTAAATGAATTTGGAAAAACACATGAACATGATTGCAAACTGTATTTAGGGAGAGAAACTGCACAGTTAATGCATGCACTATGAGCATTTTTCTTCTTTCTTCGAGTGTTCCATTGTCAGTGAATGTGGGCATTGTTTCTTAACTTTCATTTACGTATGCCAGTAAATAATTGTTAGTGATAAATAAAAGCTCAAGTAATGATGGATTTATACAATTAGTACAACATAAAAAATAAAAGGTGATATCTTTTTAAATTAGAGATTCTATTTCCTTTAGAATGGTGTGCATGATAAAATGATAAACAATCTGAATTGCCAATGTTTGAGAAAACCAGTGAAATAAAATTTCCTGTAAATGAAGACAATTGGGGTAGATTATTTTTTATAATTTTTTTACCACAGTATACCTTCACAAAAAAGGTAGAAATAAATCGATATGCAAATGGAACTATATATGAACTTCAAAAAATATAATTATAGTGCACCAGTATTGTTGACAAATGAAGTTCACTGCGTTTCCCCTCCATATTTTGTAACATTGTTACTTTCTGCAAAAATATGAAATCAATCTCTCGTGTTTCTATGAATTCCATAATCACTACCTTTTATAATTAAATTAACATAAATTAATTACACATTTAAAGAGAAAAGACAATACTTTAAGATTACATTTAAAAATGTTAATAAGAATTGTAAAGTTGTAAATATGTTAATAAAAAATAGACCTACAAGTTTTCCAATCTCATTTTTACATACTTTTTCAAATCTACAAGTGTCCTAAATTGCTCAGTAGATATGTAGAAGTTATCGAGTCTTATTGTCTTTAAATTCAGATTCACAAGATATGTTCATCTAGATTCATTACTAAACATAAAAACTGTAAAAAAAATTGGACATATAGTAAGCAATTATTAGTACCATTACCTCAAAATGGTAACTTTTTTAGTTGTGTTATTGTCCTTGCTGAAGAGTGATGCGTTTCCTAATTTTTCAATTTCAAAGTCCATGTGACCTGTACCTGTTCTGTAGTTGGAGGGCCTGCAGCAGCAGCGGCTGCAGCAGCTGCTGCTTGAGCTGCCCCACCACGGCCGCCAGCGTTTCCACCCCCACCTCCACCACCTCGCTTGCCTCTTTTGCCTGGTGACGTATGGGTTGCTGGATTGCCCCCACATCGACTCGCTAAAAGTCCAGCTACTAATTCGCCAAGACGTTCCTCATGTTCCCGACACCAGTATTTGAGAGTAGACACAACAAACACATCACTTGGAGGTCTCACCTCCCTTGAGAGTAGATGGCGAAGAAGCTCAGCTGTTGGTCTACGAAGAAAAAAAGCATTAAGTTCATACGAAAGAAGATAAAAATTAAAACAAATTGAAATAATAACTAAATAAAAAATAACATTATTATAAAAATAATTAAGAAATAAAAATTAGAACAAATTTTGTGATTTCTGTGGTGTAATGGTAAGCATGTCGTCCTGGGTTCCAATCCAACTAATACCATGGATATTTAAGAATGAAAAAATCCTTTGTTCACCTTCCTTTGGTGGAGAATTAAAGCAGGTTTTCCCATGTATATTTGCTGCAAGTAAAAGATCCTCATGCCTAAAAGAAGTATCTCAGCAAAATTCAAATCACTCGTTTTGTTGCCCGAGTGATACCTTCTTTTGTAGCTACATAGTGAATGGAATGTAGCAGAATGTACATGGTCAGGTGAAAGAGCAGGTCTGATAGCCTGAGCCTTGCCACATGAAATAAGGCATTATTGAATTTAATTGAACAAATAAATAATCTATTTACAAACAGGGACACAATAAATGTTCACAACCAGAGTTGTCTGGAAGGTAATGTAAGACCTTGACCCAATGATAAAAATAGAGCAAAGATTCAGCAGTTTTCAATGAAACATTTTTGCGTAATTGTATTTTGTTTGATTCTAAATCTATTTAAATAATAATAATAATAATAATAATAATAATAATAATAATAATAATAATAATAATAAAAACATTCTGTGATATTTACTGTTGCATCAAATGACAAAATTGAATTCAATGAGCAGTTAAAATGACAACTAATGATACCTCCTCTTCATCAATTATCTGGATTAAATAATATTATAATTTTTCAATGAAAATATTACAAGATTTAATTTTTGCTCACTGCAGTCATACTTCGTCACAAGTCAAAAGTACTTTAATCTCCACATTACAAATTCGGGCAGCTTACTTATTATGATGACTGCTAAAAACAATCATGTACAGCGACTTCTTTTATCCAGTAAATGGCTGCTTTAAAAATCAAATGCAGTTTCAAAAATTAAAATCCTGACCAATTGTAATCCGTAAAGAAGAAATTGATGCAGAGCCTCTTTCCCTCTCTGTCTGTCTCTCTCTTTTTCCCTCCTCAATACATGTAGGCTGCTTTACAACCTCATTCTTGGAAAAAAAATGACTTTACATAACCTAGTTTTAATGTTCCATACATTCTCTTAAATATATCCATAAAATGCTGAGATGAACACTTCTACCACTTACATTTATAAAGAATTAACTACATTCTAACACAAAGATCTAGTTTGAATGCTCTTGGAGCTTTCAAATTTCACCACATAATTCACCTCTCTTGCTTGAGCATCAGAAGAATGGCAGTCAGAGCTTCAGCATGTGCAGCATATTCAAGGCGTGGGAGAATAGGCAAAATATAGTCCACTGGGATGCCATGTGCCGTGACCAGCTGCCACAAGCAAAACTGTTCAAAGGTTTCCCAAGCTAGTGAAGCAGAAAGGAGAGCACGAAACGAGTCTGGATGACGGAACATCATCAGTTGCCCTTGCATTATTCGACACACCAAGTCTTGCAGTTGAGCAGCATCCACAGCAGCCACTACAAGGTGCAGAAGGCCTACATGGTCCACTGCCACATCTGGGAATTGGGCGTACACCTCAGGCACCAACCAACACAGCAAGGGAACATCCTCTTCCTGGCACAACTGCAACCAAAGAAATACATAAGTGAACAGCATCGTACTAATATCTTGCATAATGAAAAAAATGTCTATTCCCCAAACATAATATTATTTTAATCCCTGGTTAATGATGGAACTCACTGAAAATAACCCCAAGAGCAATTCTCATGATCATGCGAGGGGGAAAATACTACAATATTTTAAATCAGAATCTGAATTAATTGTTTCACTGACAACCATTTTTGAAGTAAACAGACTTTATTAAATGTAAACATTTATTTTGCGATTCCAATTACCAATCTGTTCATTTTATATAAAACGGAAAACTATAAAATATTTTTAAACTCAAAACCACAATCAATTTCAAAAATCACAATAATCCTCAGTAACAAACAGTAGACTATGAAGACATTAATTCTTCATGACAATCTGGAAACTGCACCAATTAAGCAATATTATTTCATTAAAAATACTGATGGTTTTTTGAATTCTACTAAAAGAATGAACGTATCCTTCAGTTACAGAACTTCCCATTATTGTTCTTATTCCTTCATGAGCTTCTGGAGAAATACAAAAGTTAGTAAACTCTGATTAATCTTTTCTAAGTGAATAATACAAGATCTTAGAATATACAATTACTGTGGATAAGAAGAACAATAAAACTTCTCAAAGAATCAAGGGCAAGCTCCATATTCAACAAAATTTAGGACTATCTGAATAAAAAAAAATATTTGTATAATGAGACACATGATACTCTTTCCAAGAAAAAAATTATGACACCTACAATAACACAAACTTTGAGTACATAAAAGAGTGAAATTGAACCTTATTTATTTGGTACATAAGTCTAATTATTGTTTTAACTTTACCGTCACCTTATTCAAGGTGATGGTATATTTTTATTATTATGGTAGGTTTTCCAAATCTCTTACCACATACGAAGAAGCAATTCCTCAATATTTTTCTCATGGAAATGCACCGTAAAAGGAAGCAGGTGGGTAGCCAGGTGAAGAGGAATGGATAACAGAATAACAAAGGGCTTCCATTGGATATGTAATTAGGCAACTGAGGATTCTGTTCTGCAAACATTTTAAGCACATTTTTTTAAATTAATATAAGAGAATGTGATCATAATTTTGATAAGCAAACCAAGTGCATAAATTTAAAAAGAAATACAGTAAAATCCCTCTTTTACACTTTTTTAGGGACCCCTAGGAAATATTGTGTAAATTGCGGGAAGTGTAAATAAGAGGATATTATTTTTATCGTCTAAACTATGAGTACAATATAATGTATTTAGATACACACAATTAATAAGGATTATAATATGGTGTAATATGCAGTATTAGATTTATAATAAATAATATTACAAGGTCAAATAGAAATTTGATGAAAATTTGCGACATCAGGATTTGAAAGCACATTAACACCCTAGCCTAGTGAATTTTAAATGTCGCAAAGACACTCTCACGAGTCCCCGCCATCTGCTGATGGTAGCCTTTGATGATGCAACAATGAACTCATTTTTGGATAAAGGAAGAACAATGGTATTTCTACAGTAAAAAAAAAAATAAAGTTTACATTTCCCCCAACACAATAAAAAGTTTATTTTCGGCAGTTAGTAATCATTTCCAACTAGTCTTTTTTAAATTTATTTATGAAATAATAGATAAGTAGGTTCATGAAACAAATTTACAGAGAAAAACATGGGATTCTCTGTATACTTTGAAGTATGAGTTATTAAGGGATAGCAAAAATTACGTCTATTATAGAATGAGAAAGTGTGAACTGTACTTCAAAGGTTTTCAACGTTTTACATAAAAATTGTTTTTAAATACTGTTGTCGTTGCAGTTTGCCGTTCTGTCTATTCATTCATTCAATTTTAAATTCAATCAGAAATCTGATATGGGAGAAAAAGAAGGAAATGTGAATTTTTCAATAAGAATTTAAATTTAGAAAGAAATATAAAAATTACCACATCAATATTTAGAACAAAAATTATTATGAGACACAAATCCATGTTACATTAGCATAACTGCATAAATTTGAGAAAACCATGAAAGGATGCGAAACTAAGTACACACATTCTACAAATATGAATTATTAGAGAAAATAAATTCTGTAAATTTGTAGGACATAATAGACAACGTGCTTGAAGTCTGCTAAGTGAACTGATAATAACATGTCCAGAAAAGCATCTCTCTCTTTATTGAGTCTTTTTTCACTTCTTTTGCTGAAAAGAGACCAACGAAGTAGCTGTACAAGTACAGGCATGAAGGGCAAGGACGGTAGGATCTCTCTTCCAAATGATGATTACATTGTCATTAAATACGCGAATTAACATATATATTGTTTTGCAATCCAGCAGAAATAAAACTTATCAATTCTTTACACTATAATATAAAATAAACCTTGAGGCGTTTTGAAAATTAATATTTGTCTTGTTCATACAAAAGAACTTCAATAATTCTTACATTTTAACTTCAATTTTCACATTCTGCAAACAGTGCAATGACAATTTAGGTTTGATGTATTCAATAATTTAATACTTTTAACTACATTTTTGAAGAGTAAGGGATAGCTTTACTAATATGCATCTAATGAGATATTTGTTCATAAGTTGTTAAAATTAATGTCTCTATTAAGAAATATATCATTTCATCATTTCCCTATTCTTGGTTAGTTAACCATTCAGTTAACATACACGAGTGTATGAAATGCTTAAATTCTCATACAGAGAAAACATTGAACTGAAGACACTGGAGAAAATTAGAGTACTTTGTGAAGAAATGTATGAGATTGCAGCAAAACATTTCATTTCTCTGTGTTCACTGTTACATGTAATTTTATTTATTTATGTATTTGGGCATAACAAGGACAAACTGTCCACATTGCATTATTTATTTACATAATTATAAATTTCATTTCTCCATTAATAAATATAATTAGATTTCACTCTTCTAATACACCGAATATTAGTTATTATAGTATTGATTTATCTTTCAGTACTGTTTATATGAAACTGGAAGAACTATAGACGACGTATATTATTTCCTGTCTGCTCTCCATTTATCATGAATTTATTTTAATTTACCTTTGCAATATTTCACAATGTACAAGTGCCAATAAAGAATTGCCCACAGCACCATGACCTCCAACAATGGTAGAAATTGTTAAAATTGAGCACTAAACATTTTAATAAGAAAATAAAAAATTAAGAGAATCTTCCAAAAGCGATAATACATAAATCAATTCAATGAAGCAATCAGGCAAGTAATAACTTAGAAATTGGAAGAAATGTAAAATAAATAAATTAAAAAAAAGAAGCTGATCCAATGGCCAAGATTGCTAAGGTGCCTTAGTGATCGTGGACCAGAAGATCACGGGTTCGAGTCCCACCTCGGAAATGGTTATGTTGTGTGTGTCCCACCTCAGGCATGTCATTCATCATCATAATTTCATCCTATTTCCGAAGGCTAACAACTCTGGAATATAAAAATGGAATCAGCATTGAAATGCTGTTCACCTCCCCCACAGAAAAGAAACATGCACATACCCTGGTTATTAAGTCTGAACCCCGGTGGCACAGTTATACCGTGCCGGTGGGGTGCACACATTGTGTGCCCTATGATGGCAAATCCAGGGGGAAATAATAATAATAATAATAATAATAATAATAATAATAATAATAATAATAATAATAATAGAAAAAGAAAAAAATATGAACAATTTTATTCCCAGAAAACTACAAAGAGAAATAATAACCTCGTTAATAAGGTTAACTTTGCTTTCTTATCAGACTTGGTAAGCGGTTCCTACTACAGCTACACAAGATTGTAAAGTATTTTGCAATTAACAATAGCAATTTTGTTACAATCCAGGAAGGTGAATTCAACTTCCTTGTGGACAAACATTCCATGCTATTGTTTCATTGATAAATTGAGAGTTTCTTAAGAATAAGTACAGTAAAACCCCATTCATACACTTTTCAGGGGACCTATAAAAAAGTGTAAAATGCAGGAAAGTGTAAAATACAGGCAAATTGAAAGACGATAGGCTAGGTAAGAACTTTCATTATTTATTGCAATGGTGGCTCTACTATCTCGTCCTTCGTAAGAAGATAAAGTATAATCCTCTGCCAGAAAACAGTGAATTTGCCTAAAAATATCTGATTGATGGGCCCTGGGAATAAAAAAGGGAATGAATCATATTCCTGCATATAGAAAATTACTTCCTCGAATTAAAGAGAAACGACCAACTGTAAAAAAATTTTCATGTAAACAAAAGTCATTATCCTATTGCACCCACATTTAACGCTAAGATAAAACATTATTTAAAAGTACCTTCCAATTGTACTTTCTTTTTCTATGACCAAATAAGAATTTCAAATGAATTAACATAATTTTGGTAAACATTTCTTTCATTGCTCATTGAATCTCTTAATTCACCCAAAAGAGTATCATATGATTTACATATTACATATAGAGAAATGTATTGTTTGAAGTTCTTAACTGATGGATCCCCATTCTTGTAAGAGTTGTTCCTTCACAGTTACCAAAAGAAATATATGTCTTACTTATTTGGACTTCAAAATATATCATACCACCTGACCAGTAACTGACCTTCAAATCAGCCAAGAGACTTGCTTCCAAATCCCTGTCAAGTGCTTGGCAGAAATCTTTGTAAACGGATGCCTTGACTTCACTTAATTTGCTGAAAAAACACAAAGAAAAATGGTAAATAAAAGCCATAAAAGTAGAAAAAAATTTTAGTTTCAGATATATCATAGAACAAAATATAGACAATGTACAAACTTACCATGCTTTAAGGAAGTACAAAAGTAAGTATCCCAATCGTGGCATATGACCAGCCATCTCTGCCAGCAGAGCCAAAAGAGGCAACCTACGAGAGTCATCTTCAGGCATCTGGGCTGCACCTCGGAGCAGTACGAACAGAGGTCGACCAATACTGTCCTCTACAGCCCTGCATAAACAAGCAATCAAGAATAACATCTGAATAAACCTTAAGCAGTTTGTTTTTTTCCCCCTTTTCCCGTATCAAGTTCAGAATTACTCTTTTAAAAAACTAGTGATGCTGCAATAACATACATTTCCATATATTATTTTTAATGGTCATGTAATATAATATTACCTGCACATGTGTGATTTTTATACATTTAAACTTGATCGCATACATTTTTTGCACTTACAGATAGGTTACTTCAGTGGCACTGGATTGAAGTATTAAATGGAAAGGGGAACAAGGAGCCAAAAATGGATGAAGTTAAGATCTGTTTTGTTCAAGAGCTCTTTAATTTAACTTCGTGCTTCAATAATAGGACTCAATTTTAAAGCTTTGATATTTGAGCCCATTGAAGAAGGGGAAGAAGGGGAAAAAATCACATTTATTTTAGAATGAGAAAGCATGAAATTATGGAGATTGATGTAAAATAAACAAATGATTATGAGGCTACCTGTATTAAGCTTGTGTCACATGAGCGTGGCATAAGCGTGTGTCACCTAATGATGGGGACTGTGCACGTCACATAATGCATGCCATAGATCAACACTATTTTATGCAAAAGAGCACACAAGCACTCTTAGGGATGTGTGTTGTGCCCACAGCTGAAGCAACACGCTCAAGCTACAACATAAGACAAAATTTGTACGTAGACTCCAACGTAAATCAAGAGTGCTTTTTCTAGCTTTCAAAACATGACAAACACTAGCAACAACACACAACACCAAGAGCACTTATGTGTCATTTTGCATAAGATACAATGTTAATCTACTTAGCACGTTAAGTGACATGTGTGCGCAGACATTGACGTGGCTGGCATCCTCAGCATTACATGAAGCGTGTCAACTTAATGCAACCCGCATGTGGAACAGACCTTATATTCTTCTACCAATGAATATTATCCATTTTTTTCTACCTTTTTAAATACCTCTGTAATATTAACAAATGAAAATTTATTTAGGTCTAGCAGCTAAGTAATGATTTTCATTCTATTTTCAATCTTCTAGCCTTCATGTAATATTTCATAACTCTTTATAATATCACACCATTTCCATTCTTTCTGTTATGGCCATTTTTAACATGGCAAGGTGGTGGGAAAGCGCAGCGGCAGTGCCGTTTGCGCAACATGAAGTGCTATTCAGATGGAGTTGTGGCAAGCAGACTCTTGCAAATTCCGGAAAAATTGAAATTATAATATCGTCAATGCGAGGTATTTATAACATTATGAACTTATGAAAACTGATGGGACCAAGAAGAAATGTTGTAAAGGCCGGGAAAACTTAACTTGTGGGAACGTAAAAGTGGGGTTTTACTGTAATTTAAATCTTTAACTACGAATAAGAATAAAATAATTTAAATCTGATATGACAGATGAAATAAATACATGATCTTGAATAAATAATTTTAAAAAATACTTGATCATTTGAAGACATTGTGTCATAACTTACTGTTAGATATTGTGTACGTTCTGTGGGCGGGTAATGCTTGGAAGTTCTTATGTTGGTAGTGTTGTGCCTAACTTATCCAGTGTGTGTCCATGTGGTGCTGTTGTTTGCACACACTTGTTTGATTTGTGTTAATGTATTGTGTCGATCAATGATATATGTTTGTCTTTTGAGTTGTGTGTTGTGTTTGGCTTCTGTGTTTCGTTATCATTGCCTCGCTAACACTTACTCATCAGTAACTTCGGCAGGAAATATTTTTCCCTCCAAGTCATCTTGCAGAACAGAACATAGACAAGATGCTAATGTACTCAGTGCTTCTCCAGAAGGTTCTTCTTGAATAACTAACTGAACTAGCCGCTCTGCAGCTTGACACCTTTGTAGTAAAAAACAAACAAATTGAATTCACTATTCTTGCAAAAACACTGTTTTAAAGATTAAAGCAAAGACACAGCAATGAAAATTATAAAAGTTACAATGTTGGCTCCTATGAATATCCCAAACAATGGTTAGTTTCACAGTTCTAATTAAAGTAGTTTCAAGCTATTAAAATATAATAGCAGATATTTTATCAACATAAGCATCTTTTATTATAGGAATTTCCCCTTGCATTTTGCACTGCAGAACAATAATCATTACATCAAATTTACTGTACTGTATTATGGTGAGAGGGAAAGCAAAAAAAAGAAAAAAGTATATATAGATTACTTATTTTAATATAGTTCAATTTTATGATTCACTTTTATTTGTAATTATATCCATAATGATAAATTTCTTATCTGAATTCACTTTAAAAGATAAAGATATGAAAAGGAACTTAAGATACAAATTAAAATAAATATAAGCAAAACTTTAAACCCCAATTTCTTCAAATCATTTTTCAATAGTAAAATGGTCATAAAATAACGTCCTTTCCCTACATCAGACAGATTCAAGGAGAAAAATAGAAGTTAGTACATTATGGTACAGGAAACAAATTATTTCAACACATGTTACAATTGCTTATAATTCAGAATTAATGTGTCCGAGGTTCACAAAAAAAGGTTTTTGTGTCCCTGAACAAACCTGTGTTTTTGGGGACACGAGTTTTGAGGGACAGGTGGGTACAGTTATGTTTATTAAGCAGTAGTACTAAATGAGACTTTCTGGAAATTTTTCATTTCATAGGGACAACTTTATATTGTGAACTAACGGGAATTTATTGGCTTGAGAAAAATCAGTGTACAAGTATGGTTTTATTTTAATATCTTAACACTGCAAACAGTTTAAATTTAATATGTGGTGCAACCAAGGTGGGAGCGGGAATTGATAAGAGTTCAGACGCATCCAGAAGCTGATGAAACATATTCACAAATATGGTTTTTACTTATTTTGTACAGTGCTGAAAGTCATTCAGAATATAATTTGACTAAGTTATAAGTAACTATAAATCACAAATAGAAATAAATTTTTAATTTAGTGTAAATTACATTTATTTTATAAGAAAACCGACTGTTAGACACTATTCGTATAGTGCTCAGAGAAAAATCCTGATAGTGCCACTGAATGCAAGTGTTTCAGATATTAGAAGCCTCTTTTCTGAAACTGAACTTGTGCAAGTACGTGTTAATATTTTTGCATCTCTAACACATCCAATTACGTACTTAGCTTCATTGTCGTTTTCAGCACGGAGTGACTCCACTGTTTTTCTGATATCACCCTCGAGTTGGGAAATCAGATCTGGAGATCCTGAATCTCTGGCAGCTCCTCTTCCAGGTCTTTCTTTTAAACGTACTTTTGCTGAAAATAAAAACATTTCTTTATAATATAACTATTCTGAAAGATGACAAGCACTTCCTAATTGTTCTTGCATACTCTTCTTCAAAATAACATACTACAGTCGACTCCTATTATTGTGAACTCAGATATAATGAACTTTAAACACTGGTCCCATTTCACTTACATTACAAAAAGTCCAAGACGATTTGATTATAGAGAACTCTGAACCTCGGCTATAGTGAACATAGGAAATATAAAGTCCTAGAAATTAATTCCTTCCTGGAAAATAATTGATTTTTTACAGTCAAATAAAGATATTATAATTTTCCGTCCATGATGTTGATGTATTTTGCAGTATCTCTAGGTTAATAAAATCAATCATTGTGGAGAAATCTATTTAATTTTCACATCAGTGGAAACGGTGAACCTTTGATATAGTGAACCAAAAATGTTACTCGAATGAACAAAAAAGTTCACTATTAACGGAATCAACTGTATATATCCCTATTATATTTTTACCCTCTTTTCTGATCTTCTTGTTTTAAATTTAATATAAAATGTACTATGTAGTAAAGTAGTATTTTCCAGTGTTCAATTTATTCTGAAGTACATGACAATAAAATAGTGAGAATGCATTTGTAATTTTCACTCAATAATAAATTGTTAATAAAATAAACAAGTCAAATTCATTTGCAGTCGTTATAAAAAATTAAATGACAAGAGATAGATTTCTTAGACTATCCAAATATTTCAACAACTATAAAAGAGATATGAAGGATTTAACATCCACAACATCAAGAAAACAACACCTGAACACCACTTACCTCCTTCACTGACGTCGCACATTATGACAATTTAGAATTTGCAAATATTTACCCAATGGAATGTCATCATCATCTTCCTCATCTTCATGGCGACCTCCAGAACCAAGGCCAGTCTGATCTTCTTCATCGTCACTGAATGCAGGTTCATCCAAATGATTGTTGGTGCCTGTGATACCACGATTATGGTTCTCTGTTCCATCAAGATTCACAATTTCTGCAGGTTCTTCTTTAATGCCCGGATTTACAAAACTCTTCTCTTACTATAGACCAAGAAATGTATATTTGAACAAAAATTTTATACTTTTTTTTCAAATTGAAATGGGTCATTGCTGGGACAATTCAAAATGAAAGAACTTTTCTTTTTTCTCTCTTTTCTCATTCCCTCAAATGTTGCATGAACAAAATACTGGGAAACCTGGTTTTAAAATTACCTTCTCAAACCAGGATAATTATCTCATTTGAACAACCAAATATTACAGATTAGAATAAGTTGAAGTTACAGCACATAAAGAACAAGAGATGAATTGGAAAATGACATTTATATTTTGAAAGTGTACTGCTTAATCTAGTTTTAAAAGAGAACGGGAGAAAGTTTACACTTTTACTTACCTTCAACCACCGGTGGCATACAAAACTCCTTAAATGTTTCATGAACCATGGATCGCAATTCTTGATCTAATTTTGGGTGATCAAAAAGAGGACACAGAGAAGGCAACACTCTTTTCTCCAAAATTTGACGCAAAGAGGCATAAATTCCAGTACGCACTTTTTCTACCAATGATGGATGAAAATTTGGAATTATCTGTTAAAAATCAAAATAAAGGATCAAAATAACACCCTAATAAAAATGTAATTGTAAGCAGGATTGTAATTATAGAATGCTGGTGTATTCAATAATTAAACACTTCTACAATCTCGCTGTACACATAAGAATTATTTCAGAGATGAATACATTTTTGTGATTTGTCCAACAGCTACGAATTATAATGCATCTGGTAATGAATATAGAACAGTATTATCATTAAAATGTTTTCTTACTCTGCAAAGGAAGTCCAATAGTGCAGCGGTGACAGCAGGATGAGAGCGCATTGAATTGTTCATTACCAAAATTGCTGGTTCTAGAAAAGCAGGAAGTAGTGCATAAAAGTAAAAATCTTTTTATATACCACTTTAAAATAAAAGTGTTAATAAATATATTACCTATATTCATAATGTTATCCTTATCTGGTTCAAAAAACAACCAATCATAAAACAAGGCTAACTTTGCATTGGCAGCAGCAACAATGGATGTGCAAGTTGTGAGTAGCCATCCAATGACTGCCCAACGAGGAATGATATCGGAACACAAAAGTTCATTGGTAGGATGGATTACACCTACAATGAAGCGAATAAGGTCACAACGTAATGTTTGTGACTCAGGTGTTGCCAGATACTATAAAAACAGAACAGAATAAACATTTCAAAAGATAAAAAAGTATTCAAATAATATAAAAGAAAACAATAAAATGTCTCATGAATATTTTAACATACAAAGAGCAAATATATTTAATTTTTTAAAGTAATGCAATTAGCATGAACTAAAACAGAAACGATAATTTCAGTACTAACCTGCCGTTGAAACCACTCTTGGTAACGCTTGTGATATCCAAACCGAACTTGAGATGTAAGAAATACAAGTTTGCGCTCCATATCTGGGGTGAGGCGAGATTGTAGAAAACGTCGAGATGTGCGAGTCTGCATTAACTGCAAGATACCTAAGGGCAAATGGAAACAAACTTTTTGACAGCAATTTTCACAGGAATACCACACATATTTACCCTAGTTACTTTAATTTTATTGATATCTTAGAAGTATTTAATATTTTCAAATTTGTATAATAAATTGTGCATGGTATATAAATATTTTGATATAAACTAATTATAAAAGTTACACATCAACACTGAAAATGTTTTATTTTAAAAATTTAAAAATAAATTTTATCATTCATGATTTCAGGCATTTTTTAAGTGAATTTCTCTAACACTTCCCAATTGGTATGTAAGATTTTGAAATACAAAGTAAAGGAATTCATTGATAGAAGAAGGAAACAAACGGAGAGCAGGGAAAGTCAAAAGTTGAAGGATCAAGGAAAAGTATGTTGTGAAAAATGGAAGTCTTTGTATTTAAGTCATCAACAATTTATTTTAAATTCCTGTAAATATAATTAGCACTCTTATCACTTGGCACCACATTTACAAAATACAAGACAATTATAAGAATTTTGAGGCAAAAAAAAAAGGCCAATACCTGTAAAGGTTGAGCACAGCCCTTTGGGGTTTGACAAAATGTCCTTCCATAAAAGCTCAATCTCAGGGATGCGGGCAACATTTTGAAGAAGACGAACAAGATCCCGTCCTATAACAAGGCAGTCGGCAAAACGTTCACGCAACAGTGTGACTACAAATGTCACTTCCTTTTGGCGCAGGGCATTCAAAGCAGGAGAACTATGATCCTCAATGAGACGTAGAAATGTGTACACAACAGATGCTATTAACACTGGAAACTTATCCAACCACGTCCTGCAAAATTTGAAAAATATTAACATAATAATTTGAAAATTAAATATATCAACAAGATCAAGAATTATAATTATACATTCAATGTTCCTCAGCACAAACACTTTAGTAAAGGTGCAACCTAAATGATTAATGATGCAAAAATGACAGTTAAGTAAAGTAGCATATTTTCACTTCTTTTTACGTATATTAAACACTGCAAAGGGCTGTTCACTGTCAGTGTCAAAACATGTTATATATCAATCCAAAACTTTGATGCTTCATTAAGATTCCACATACTTTTCAAAGTCTGAGTTTTTGTTTATTCCTTCAGAATCTACATGACAAACAAACTGATAATTAAAAAGCATTAATAAATCTCATGTTTTATGGTTCATGCATAAGATCAAATCATAAATCATGCAGTTGTTCACTTTTCACTATTAACTTCTGAATTGAAGTCTTATCTCACAAATGTTAAAACGCTTATAGCTAATTAAATGGGTAGTTAACCAGAATAATTAAATGTTTTTGAGCAGTATTTCAAATAAATGAGAATTCATATATTTATGACTCACTGTCCTATTTTAACTATAAGTAAGTACTTATGTACAGGGCTGGGTGGAGACATGGTTAGAACCTGGGCTGCAGGACCAGCAACATTCAATACAGACTATGAGAGATTAATATTTTTATTTCAATATTAGTATACGGTTAGTATAATAAAATTTGTATTGCTTCAGAACTATCGAAGGAATGTGAGACAGGTTATTGCAATTGATGAAAAAACTCAGCAACCAGTTGAATTTGTGATGAATGAATGAATGAGCAAGAAAGGATATTTTTTAATGAAGAAATTTTCAATGTATGTTTTAGATAGATGAAGGACAAATAAGGTTTTTAAAAATTAAATTTTGTACAAAAGATATTTATATTTAACTTTTTTTTTTTTTCACAGTGCAAATACTTGTCAAATAAATGACTGCTTCAGAAATTTCTACCCACATCACAGAAGACACAAACAATAAACCACTTGAGCCCTTTACAATTGGTTTATATAAAACAAAGAATAAAATACAAATCTCTAAAAAACAATAGAAATTTCTGGAATCAAATTTTATAACTGTTTAACTTCTTATTGGAAAAGTATATTTATTAAAAATCTTCATTGTTAAGTAAGAAAATATTAAAGACAGAGAGAATATAATTTTTGCACAATAACTGACCTGTTATCTTGGTAGATATCCAGCAAAGCTTCAATAAGGTTAATGTTTTTGGATGACACATCACCTCCGACAGCATGACGCATAAGAATCCAACACAAATTATCCACATTTGCCACAGCATTACGAATCATTTCCCGTACTAACCACAAAACTTGTGAGCGCACTACATCTTTTAACCTCACATAACGATCCATTAATAATTGAGAAAGGTGAGATAACACAATAGCTAATCCATCACGAGTGATGAGCATCAAGTCACGGTAGCTCTAAAAGAAAATAATAAATATGTAGTTTTGTTCTACAAGACTATATAAAATGTATGATAATTTATCTAATGTAAATGTCTGTTAATTAAGATTAAATATTTTGAATATAGCATTGAAATTAATACCCTGGTAGCATTTTCTGGTTCAGTCAATATACTGAATAATAATCCTAATGAGAGATCTTCATGTGTTTTTTCCTTGCAGACTGCTATATTCAAAGCATTTTGAGCTTCCTTCTCAGATAACCCTGCAATGAGAGTCTGTAGAACATTGTAACTTCGTTCATATTTCTGAAAAATAAAATAATTACCTTGAACAAATTGAAAATAATATATAATACATTATGAAATTTTTTAATAATGTTTTCTTTTAATTTTTAATATCTAAAATACAATTATTTATGTCTAAAATGTCAAAAATAATAATTAATTTTAGTCTCCTATCCACTCAATAGTAACAACTACTTTTAGAATCCAAGTTATCAAAGAAAAAGTTAAAAGAATATAAAAAAATATAAAATAATTTATAAAAATTGGAAATATCCTTTTAATGAGATCAAGTATCATATTATTTAATTAAAACTATATAATTGCTAACCAAATCTAGGGAATTTGAATCGCGCTCTCATGTATCACTAGCGCTACTACGGGGAAACAATGAAACAGCTATGGCTGTTCATTATGGCCGCCCTCACATCTCCCAGTACGAATAAAATATAAAAGGATTTTACCTCTTCTATTTCATCCTTATTTTCCACTATTGAAGAAACAAATAGCTTCAGTGTCCTCGGTTGTGCCAGATCCATGCCTCTTAAAACTAATAACCCGGTGTACACGCTCAAGGAAAATTAATATACGTTCCCACCATTCTGTCTCGTTTCCCTGCCCTCGAAATGCTTTCTGAGTTCAGCGCATGGATACAAACTACAACGATAAAGTTCACTTTGTGCGATAGGGTGCGGGCAAATAGTGCGTTTAACACATATCATGTCGGAAGCAAATAAACAATTTGCTACGAAAATCAATCTAAAACATACTACGATAATTTTAAGAATAAGATTGATCACATTAAATGTTGTATACTAGGAAATGCCTCTGGACTTCAATAACGTAAGCGAAAAACCTTATTTACGTTTTGTGTAAATTCAAAACCAAAATTAATTGATCGTATTTCATTACACCAAGGTATTTTGATGGCATTTTGTTTATGTTTTTCTCGAGGAAAAAACCATTCAGGTGATTTTAACAACTTTTTTTACTAGGACCAAATTTTTTTCCTGCGTTTCCAAAGGGGCACGAAGGGAATCTATAGCGCGCGTTAGCACGAAAATTCAAAAACGTTACCACAGTGGCTTTTACTGGAGGGGTTTTTCTTTTCCAGTTATTCATCATTTTTATCAATAAATAAAAGCAACACGTGTTTATGAAAGAGCTGCCTTTTTTATGCAGATCCCTTATGTAATTTTTTAGGGGTTCCTCGTAGTTTTGAAATTAATATATTTGAGAATCATTTGTCCTTGCCTAATTTTAGAAAGTGATTACAAATTAAAAGCAAAATAAAAATTTTCAGGAAAGGGCTGAGAAAAGAAAACACTGCCAAGTGAGGAAAAAACAATCCTTCAATATTTTGTGTTACCCGAGAAAAAAATAAAGATAATTTATTATGAAAACGTCCGAAAAAGACTTCACGAGAGTTCAATGAAACCAGTGGAACGCATCTCGTCAGCGTGAATGTAATATGGCAGTGGGGTAAACCACATGTAGTGTACATTATTTGTAAGGAGGGCTCTTTACGCAATTGAAATCAGATTTAGCTTCTTTGGGCTCTGAGTGAAGTCTTTCAGTAAGTGACTGGCTGCAATAAAACTGTAATTACATTTTGTAAACATTTAAGTAAATGTTGAGGTTAACACTTGATGTTATATTTTGGGTTTTCTTCGGTGCCTATACAATTTGGAAAATAGATTTAACTAGAGAAATTATTGCATTCAGTGATATACCAGTGCCGCCCCCTCGAACAAAAGTTGAAAGAATTTTTAAACCGTAAATATATCGAGAAACTGCTTGTTTTACCTCCCGCGATGATGCACGTAAATCTGTCTGGAATAAATTTTGTTCGCGTGGGTGAGGAAGCGCGTATCATGAATAAAATAATATAAATGTATTAAAAAAACGGCGACATTAAAAAAAATAATTCTGAAGAAATACAAATATGTTTGCTGATAAATCCAGCAGCAGAACAGCGATTTGCTTTCCGATATTGTGTTCCTTGAGAGAGGTGAACCGCCAGTAGCGCCGCCGCCAGCCGCCACTTTCACGCGCACACGCATGCTGTAAAATCGAGTATGACGGAACATACGTAATGATTGCGTGGATTGCTTGAGGCATTCAGAATCATCATCAGTTTGCTGGCAAGCTTCAAAGCGCTTCTGCGTGCAGTGGTGTGGTCGTGGTTGGTTAATCACTTCGGGTGCACCGCGTTGCGGCAAATTTGGCGTTAGGCGGGTAAAGCACCCTTCATTTGTAACATTTTATAGTAGGCATCGGGAGACAAAATAATTTACACAATTTGTTGCGAATTAAAATGCGAAAGTATCTTTGAAGCGTTTTGTGACTTCCTGGTGACTTCTTTGGAACTGTTTCAGGAGTGCCACGTCGAATTAACCTTGAATTCAATATTGAGTCACAATGCCTGAAGTAGAAGCAAAACTGGAGAACCTTGCCATTGGTATTCCCATCACTATTAACATACCGTTAATTTTATTTCAATTCCATAAGTTTGACATATAGTTGGACTGCATTTTTACATTCACAGGTGAAATTTATACCTCAGAGAAAGAAGGAAATGATGATACAGGAGATGGCACTGAGGCACGACCCTTCAAGACAGTTCTTCAAGCAATGCGACATGCAGGAAAAGAACCATTCCCAACTATTTATGTTGATGGAAAAACGGAAGGACAGGTTAGCAATGTGGAATTATTTTTGTTTATGAAGAAGAGGTTCATTTCAGGATTTAAGTACTATATTCAATTCAATTCAATTCAATTCAATTCAATATTCATATTTCTGCACGGATAGGACAAACTTTTTATTCAATAAATAATTCAAATACCGAGATTGACAAATTGATAGAATGCCTTTCCTCATTTGTGCTAAGAATTTTGACTAAAGATGTCTAGTGTACTATTTTTTTACATTCCAAAGCATTTATAATTTAAATTTTATAAAAATATTTCGCTAATGCATTGTATAAAATATGTCATACAGTTTTACACTTGAATGTGACACTCGTTCAAAAAATCACTCAGTAATATTAAGAGTAATAAAAGCTGTAAGTGCACTCGTACATATGCATCTAGAGAAGAGCTGTTATAGATTACCTGATAACTTTCAAAATTAATCCCAAGAATTTTTTCTATGTGCATTTGCATTTATCTCATCCACAGAACTCTCAAATGCAAGTTTCATTCAGGAGTTAATTTCTCAATAGAAGTAATGTTTTTGAATGGCCACATTTAAAAGACTCAAATGTTGGCATTGTAGATTTTTCTTTTAGTTGGGTTATATTGACATGTTTTGGAAATTAGTAAATTGAATTTTTTGAAAAGCCACACATTGCTTTTCAAAGTATTTTTTACAATGAGTTCTATACTTCAACAGGAGGGTCCAGTTGCACATTTAGATATTGTTTTGCATGCAAAACATCTAAATATTATATATAACATTCCAGAGGTATGAGCCAGTTGCTAAATCACAAATGAAAAAAATACATAAAATATGGGTTCGAGAATCACACAAAAATGTAGAGAAAGCCCGCAAAGAAGAGGAAGATGCTGAGAAACGGGCTCATAACTTAGAAGAAGCCAAGAAAGTAAAAATTGAACCTGACCCATCATTACCAGAAGCGAAGTCCATCCGTATCCGGGAAGCATCTTCTCTCGCTGGGAGTCGAATTAAAGTTTATGGATGGGTTCACAGATTGAGAAGGCAAGGTAGTACAGTTGGTTGGAACCTATGAATGTGTTAACTATGAATACTACATAAATTAACTACAATATTTGGTTTTGTCCTATTTTCAATATATGTTGAATGAATTTATTCTAGGCAAGTTGTTAATGTTTATAACTCTACGAGATGGAACAGGATATCTACAATGTGTCCTTAATGATAAACTATGTCAAACATATGAAGCTCTTGTTCTTTCAACTGAGTCTACTGTTCATTTGTTTGGCACTCTACAACCAGTACCAGAAGGCAAGACGGTAAGAAATAATTTAGTTTGCACAGTAGAATCAAATGACACTTAACACATGTCTGTCATCTTTTAACAACATTGAATTTCATTTCACAACCAATTATTTGGTAAAAGAGAAAATGTTTATAGCTGATAAATACACATAATATTTGACTTGCCTAGTTCACTGTCATAGATTGTTATATAAGCAGTCACATTTACATTTTCAGGCTCCAGGTGGTGTAGAACTTCAGGCGGACTATTGGGAGCTGGTGGGACTGGCTCCTGCTGGTGGTGCAGATTCCATCTTAAATGAAGAGGCACTTCCTGATGTTCAGCTGGACAACAGGCACATCATGATCCGAGGAGAAAATGTAATTTAGCTTCATCAGTATTCTGTAAAATAGGGTTAAAAGATTTTGTTCTGTTCAATTAATTTCATGTTGTTTGGGTGTTTCACTGAAGGCAAAAACAGTCATTCTTACAAATGAGCATTAATTTTGTTTTAGACATCGCGAGTGCTAAAAATGCGCTCAGTAGTGATGCAAGCATTCCGTGAACATTATTTCAGCCGAGGATATTTTGAAGTCACTCCACCAACATTAGTGCAAACTCAGGTTGAAGGAGGAGCAACACTCTTCAAATTAAATTACTTTGGGTGAGATTATTGTGATTATTTGAAAATGTACACAAATGAATAGTTAAAGTGCAATATTACAATTTATTAGTAGTTTTTATTCTTCCTTATTTAGTTTGTTGTTGTAATCCAACTAATCAGTTATGGAATACATGATATTTATTTGTGTTGTTTGCAGTGAGGAAGCATTTCTAACTCAGAGCTCCCAATTATATCTGGAGACCTGTTTGCCAGCCATGGGGGATGTGTTCTGCATTGCTCAGAGCTATCGTGCTGAACAGAGCCGAACACGGAGACATCTTGCTGAGTATGTTTCTGTTAGTTCTCTTCTCACCTTCCCATATTGTTGCAATTTGTAATTATATATATTTTTTGTGTATTTTGTATAGGTACACTCACATAGAAGGTGAATGCCCATTCATTACCTTTGATGAGTTATTGGACCGGTTGGAAGACTTGATTTGCGATGTTGTGGATAGAGTTTTAAAGTCACCCTTTGGATACATTGTCAAGGAACTGAACCCTGTAAGTTTCATTTTCCCCCCTATCTGTGTTAAATAAGAAAATTATTTGGAGATGATGATTGTGTGTTATGTAAAATGGACAACACATATATCAGTGGCAAATTAAAGATAAATGAGAACTACTGAGTTTAAAATAATTTGCTTAGCATTTGTACTCTTGTGTATTCTTATATGAAGGAATATGACTAGGTTGTGTTTTTACAGTCCTTTGTTCCACCAAAGAAACCATTCCGGAGGATGAACTACACAGAAGCCATAGAGTACCTCAAAGAACATGGTATTACAAAAGATGATGGAACATTTTATGAATTTGGAGAAGTAAGTGAAAAATATAAGATAACAGTGAATTATTATAAGAACTTATAGGTTAATTCTGGGTCTTTTGGATATCTTTTTCTGATGGTGGTTTTGCAAATGACATGCTGAGAATAACATAACTATTAAAAAAAATTCTTTGTAACAGGATATACCAGAGATGCCAGAGCGACGAATGACAGATGAGATTAATGAACCCATCATGCTTTGTCGATTCCCTGCTGAGATAAAATCTTTTTACATGCCAAGATGTCCAGAAGATCGTCGCCTTACTGAGAGTGTTGATGTTCTCTTGCCTGGAGTTGGTGAGATCGTGGGTGGTTCAATGCGTACATGGGATTTAGAAGAGCTCTTACAGGGTTACAAGCGAGAAGGCATTGATCCTACTCCTTATTACTGGTATACTGATCAGGTAAGACATATGATCAATATACTTTTTAATTTTGTATTTTTTGTTCAATTTTAATTAACAAATGTGTAATAAATACCAAATGTGTGATTGAAGTTTTGAGTTAGTTTAAATAAGAAGTAAGTGATTATGCTAAATGTTCACAGCGTAAATACGGCACATGTCCCCATGGAGGCTATGGATTGGGTCTCGAGCGGTTCCTATGTTGGCTGTTGAACAGATACCACATCCGTGAAGTGTGCCTGTATCCACGCTTCCTGGAACGCTGCAAGCCTTGAGGATTCAATCCACTTAAGAGACTATCTCTTGTCAGTGCTACCAATTTATTTTCTTGATTATTATCTTATGCCACAAAATTGCTAGTTTCTCTTAATGAATAAAATTCTAAGACACTTTAGCAGCATTTCTACAAATTTTCACATCACTGCTTTTAATTTATGTATTCTAGTAAAACAGTATTTAATAAAATTACATTTGCTCATTTCTATGAAATGGATCAATGGCATTTAGAGTGAACTAGTGATATAATGCCTAGTATCGTTATTGTTATATCATGTTCTACAATGAAATCCAAATGGAAAAAATAAAAAGTTCTTTGCCAATAATTTCAAGAACGTTTGTTTCAGGTGTAATGTGTATTCAGATGAAGAGTGATCTTGATGTATTTGCTGTATGTTTTTTTTGTATTCTGACCATTATCACATTTTCAGTGTCATCGTCAGTAAGATAGTTCATATTTGATGACAAGAATTAATAAGTCAGCTAGCCTTGAGCTAACCAGGGATGTATGACGAGAAGAGTTGATTGGATCGAGCAAAGATTAAATGATGTTTCAGTGTCCTCAATAATAGGAATTAATTCACTGTAGGTTGATAATTTAATTTGAGGCCTAGTAAATAACTCTAAGAACTGAATTCATTGTATGAACATATAATTTGATAACAATGAAGTTACGCTAGTAACTTTTTATATTATTAATATCTTGCTGTTGATTTGATTTTTTTCCTCTGCAATGAGATGTTCTTCAGACTTAGAGAAAAAAATTAAATTGTTTATCTCAACAAGAAAATTTTCCAGACTCAAAATGAATATGCTTTCCTGCAAAACTTTACCACGAATAAGAAGCTTTTTTGAACTTATGCTCTTGTTTACATCAGGATTATTCTCAATCCTCCTCAGATGTGCAGATTTTGCAGGAACATCCAATTCAATTTTTAAAGGAACTGCAAATAAGTATTTGAAATACTTAAAACATGGGTACTTAAAAAGCATTTTTCCAACAAACTGTTTCGCCCAGCAGATATTTTAGATGTATATTTTTAATGCTATCCAGTGCATCTGACATCCCCCTTAAAAGATAATTGCTTGAAGATTCCATTAAAAGTTAAAACATTTCTTCAAAAACTACTTTTCTGTTAAAAAGTCTCTTTTGTTTGTTTGTTTCATTATGTAATGTGGCACAGGAAAATAATTGGATTGTATCTGTGTTTCTTTCAAGTCTCTTCTGTACCCAAAAAGCTTGTTAACTAAACTCTACAATTGTATATTAATGCACACAAATGTTAAATAGGGAAATAACGAATATCAAATGAATCTGATAAAATATGACAATGATAGCTGTACTTACTGTAAATGGAATAAACTAAATAATCATGCTGCAAAATGAATTGTTTTTAAAGGTATCAATGGTTTCTATGCACTAATTAAAATTTGACAATATTCCTCTAGGAACCTACTTCATGCATCATAATTAACAGTGGTTGCTAAACTGTTGAGACCATTTTATGTAAAGTTCTTATTACTGATTTCAGTAAATATACAATAAAAAATGGTTGAATCACAACGTATGTTCCATCTGTTCTTTTTGCCGAACTTGTCAGTGACACAAAATATCAGTAAGATAGAAGGGTGAAAATATTTTTTTTTATAACACAAAGTGAAATAATTAGTGAAACTTACAAATGGCCTTTTCTATGAAAATAAAAAATATATAAAACCATAAACAATTGGCCACCCAAACATCTCAAATTTTTATCTACGTCAGTACAAAATATATTAAAGTGTACACAAGAAGTATGAGATTCAGCAGAACAATCTATGTATGTTCTGCTATTAGTGTAAGTACATTCAAAGGGAGCTAATACTTGGCTCCGATTGGCAGGGCCGTTATCTGTTTGCCCCGAAATGTACTGATGAGTAAATTTAAACTACTTATTATTTCAGTTATGTAAGTAGTAAAAAAAGATTTTGAATAAAACTTGAAAGTATAATTGGGAGGGGGGGTATGTGACCACACTTGTCAGCAAAAGAAGTTAATGAGAATGTACTAATAATTCAAGGTTGTGGTTTGTGAACTCTGGTTAATCACGAAAATTTAAATTCTTTAGTGTTACTCTCCATGCAACCACAATTATCAGGAGTTCAGGGCTTGTGAGCAAGACATCTGTAGGCAGTTGTAAATGGCAGTGTCAGTAATGCCACGTTGAACTCTACGTCAAGCTTTTCTGAATATCTTATCATTTTTCAGCCCTGAATATAACAATCTGATTGACACAATAGACATATGATTGACACACACTTTTCTTTCCTTAAAGCAAAAAAAAATTGTTGAGCCATTTTCAAATTTTTTGGAGGGCCACATCCCCTATGATGCTTCCGTTTGTGTCTTATTACTAGCTACTGGTAGAAATAAAAATAAGGATATTTATGTCATACTCTCTCTTTCCCTCTCATCCCCTTTTTCTTTTCCCCTACCTCGTTTTCCTTTCTCTATCTCTTTCACCCTTCTCTCTCTATTCCCCTTTCTCCCTTTCCCCTCTTTCTTATCCCCCTCTCTTTCCCCAATTTCTCCCTTTCCCCCTCTCTCCTTTTATCATCTCTCCCGCTCTCCTCTTCTACTTCTCTTTTCCCCCTAATTCTTTAGTGGCGTAGCGTATTGGGGGCGGTCCGCTCCGAGTGGCACTTGTAGGCCGCAAAATTTTACAATAAATAATAATATCTTGTGAAAATTGTAGCCATTTCATTTCATATTTTTGTCGCACCTACGATTCGGACCGATTGAAATGAGCATGGAATCTTTCATTACTTAATCTGTGACGACTTATTTCAATGAATGTATAACGACATTCGCTCATTGTAGCGACAGGCAATACTGGGCAATACCGACTGAACTGGCTTATAGGCAGTGACGGCATTCGGAAAGGAGAGGGGGCAACTGCCCAACCAATAGTGGGATAAATTTAAAAAAATATAGACATTTCATTTCGCATATCTTCTAATTTATATTATAAACTATTTACTTGTTTTTGAGGTTTGAGAAGAAAATTTGATAATAATTATTGTTTCAATGTTAACTCTGAAGTTTCAATAATTGCAAAAGTTTTATTTTTTTCCGCGACTTTCTACCACTACAAAATCGAAGAGGTTTTTCCTTGTGTCCAAATGTGTTGTCCACAGTGAGTTCTTTCATTACGATCATGCACAATTTTTTAAGTTAATTTTAGTAGTTTTCGCGCAATATTTGCAATTTTAAAAAAATGCAAAATCAAGATTTTTCAAAACGAATTTTAATGAAACTTTTGGAAGGGATAGTGCTAAATGCACTCATAAGATGACATAAACGCCATATTACGATATCCTTTCCTCCCAAAATTACAAAAATGTAATGTTTTTACTTGGCTCACACATCGATAATATTTATATTAGCGGCAATTTGTTCACGTTATTATATTTACAAGTACATGTGCTATAAATAATGTCATATAAAGTTTCTCGAAAACTCAACCGTTTTCTGTGAAAACCAGCTCAAAATTTCGCATTTTCAGAAATGCTCAAACGCCAGTTTCTCAAAAACTGCTCCAAATTTTTTCTTCAAACTCTTTTAATGGATAATGCTATTTTCACTCAGGAGTAATGTGTAATTCATGTTAAAACGAGCATATTTGGTGAATACTACAATACTATTATGTTAAATAGTTACTATTATATATTTTTCGATGTATTTCAATTTGTTTGCCAACGCTATCAATATCGTATTATTTACTTTTAATTCTTTTATTTTTTCACATGTTGTTAACAGAGAATAAGGCTAAAAACTCTTCGGTTATGATCGTGAATACTCTGTACACCGTGTACAACGAATTCAATGCCAGAAAGATATTTTCATTTAAAGGTTCGAATAAATAATAAATTATCTTGAAACTATTTAATTTTCGCTCCAAATGTTCAACAATTTCAAATAAGGTTTACAGAAAGTGAAGACTGAAATGTGTTAATTTGGAGAGAAATGGTGGTTTAAATAGTATTACATAACCATTACTAAGGGCGAGAAAATACGAATTGTTCTAACATCATTGGTTTATATTTATTAGATTTTTATTTATATTTTATAAATAAATTAATGTTTTTACCAATTTTAATTAAGACCTCAATAAGTTATCTATCTCTAAAGATCAGCACTTTGAAAATTTATCAGTTGAATCACTCAAAACAATTACTTTATCACACAACTCTCAATCCAATTGTGTTGTCTGTGATAGTTCAAAAACGGAATTATCATCTTCAAACGTCTCATATTTTGATATTTTTACTCTCAACAGTTATAAACATCCCAAACGAAACATATATGCACGATTCTGCATTTCCAAAAGCTAGTGGCTGTTGATTTGCTGGAGTTCGCTCAAGTACGCTTCTGGCAAGGACGTTTCCATGTCTTGCGAAGCGACGGTACGAATATTCTAAACCCGCGCTAGTGGTTAAATCGAGGAGAGAGAATGGCGTAAAGTAAACGGTTGTGGTCTCAAGTTGATAGGGAAAACACAAACGTCTAGAACTAAGTCCGAGCATAGCCTACTAGAATTCTAATAATACTCTGAATTAGCTATCAATGTCCTGCAATCCTGGAGCTCTACGAATACAATGGCGAGAAATAAAAACGTGGAGAATACACGATTCACACGTATAGTATACGAACGTATGCAATGTTGCGGAAAATCGATTTCGAGATTTCAACGGAAATACACATTTCGGAGTTCCCTGATACTGAAAACGTGTTTTTTGAAAGTCAGTCCATTTGTCGGTCCGTTCGTCCTGCTCGTCTGTGAACACCGTTAGCGCCTAAACCATACTTAGGATATTTACCAAAAACATTCCCCGGTATTCCCCTGTCGATCTGACTCCACTCGAAACGTCGCGATTTTGAAACCTTTCTTTAAAATTTGGGGTATTTTACATGAAGCCCCTTGGATATATTCAAAATGTGCTCCAAATTTTTGGAAAGGAAAAATTACATTACACTTTCAAAGGGGCATAGGACCGGTTTTCCACAGTTAACTATGAATTTTCGAAAATTTCAAAATTTTGAATTTTTTCGGCGTCTTTCTACAACTACAGAATTGAAGATCGAGATTCTTCCTTCAAAAGGAAAATGTTGTCCACACCTAGTTCTTGCATTTAAGTCATGTATATTTTTGGAATCTTATGGTAGTTTTCGCTGCAATATTGAGTTCACTATTTGCAATTTTTAAAAAATTCAATAATAAGATTTTCTCAGAAAGAGCTCCAATTTTTTTCTTTAAACATTTGGCAGCGATAGTGCTAAATACGCTATATATGTTGACATAAACGACACATTGGCATACTCTTTTGCTTTTTCAAAAATGTATTTTTTTATTTGTCTCACAAGTCGTTAATATTTACATAGCGGTAATTTGCTTACATTATTGTATTTATGTATGCATGTACATTACATAACGTTCTATAAAGTTTCTCGAAACAAATTTAAGTTAAAAGTAAAATCTTTTCTGCTGCATAACTGTTTCTATACAATTAGAGACTATACTGATTATCAAAAAGAAAAATAATGTTTATTTTAACAAAACAGTGATATATATATATAATGAATTAGTTTACATTTGCATTGTATATTTTTTTAAAGACTTAATATGTTTGTACCAAATAATGTACTTCAGCTTCCGGGTCAACGACCCCATCTCGATCAGGTTTTTGTCCGGTTTCCCTGATTCCCTGAGCAAATGCTGAGATGGCCCCTTGTTTTGCTTCTGGACGTGAATATAGCTTCACTATGTGCACGTTATGTTGAACTCTCCTTTTGCTTGTAATGGTAAGAGTAGAGGTAAGGGCGAGTTGCTATTTTGTTAGCAATGCAGAAAAATCCTACTTGCAATTCGTGTACCGATGCAAACAAGTTGTCTATAACTCAGAAACGAAAATGACAATTTTTAAAATATTGCTAATCTTGCGATTTTTAGCATTTATTTTTATTTATTTATGTTAAACTTTTACTCATATTTAAACTATTTATAGTTAAAATGACAGGAAGTGATTTTGGAACTCAAGAAAACTTGCGTAGATAATCTTCTTTCCCCTGCGTCACATACATTGTTTACTGTTTTTTGACTAAATAAATCTAAATCTGAACTCAACAAATTTTCGTGAAAACTACCTCAAAGTTCCGCATTTTCAGAAACGCTCAAATGTCATTTTCTTAAAAATAGCTCCAAATCCTTTCTTCAAACTTTTCCAATAGGTAGTGCTAATTGCACTGTTAAAATGACGAAGTTGATTTTGCTGTATTCCTTGGTTTTTGCAAACGTTACTCAATTGATTTTTTTAAATTTCTGTCATGCCGTTAATATGCACATTTCAAATAAATTGTTAACACTATTGCACTTGTGAATGGATGTGCTTAAAATAAAGTTTTTCCGAAAATCATACATTTTCTGTCAAAAAGAGGTTCAAATTTCAAATTTATAGTAACGCATAAACGCCATGTTCTTAAAAATGGCTATACATTTTTCAATAAAAATGCCATTTACGACGAGGTTTTACTCTTCTATATTATTCTTAAAATAATAATACGACTATACTCTTAGGA